CTGAACGTCATCTAAAGAGACCATGTGTGCTGAGCGTTCCTGTGTGGTTGGCAGAGCTCCATTCACGTTTGTTAAATAGGCTTTGAAAGGGGACGTTAGAAAGCGGTGTCTGTTTGGCCTTGCAGTTCTAGAAGCACTGCAGCAGAAGTGAGCTCTGCCCCTTCTTTCGTGTGCTAGTACCGTGTACAGCATGCTAGTACAGGCAGACCCGAAGCTTTTCTGCCAGGACGGAATCAAAACCTGTGGTTGTTTTTCAATTACTTCAGCCCAACACTAGTCCATATAATTTCTATTATGTTAACTTTAATAACAAAAAAAGGTAGTAGCACAGAGACAGCGAGAATTACCTTTTATTTGCAAGCACTTTGTAACCAACTTTCTATGATTCTGCATTACTGATGTGGAGGGTTTAGTCTAAGTGACTCCAAAACCTGCGTATTGTTTCCTTTTCTATCTCGGAGCTTGTAGATCAAAGCTGCCTCAGGTTCAGGTTCAACTTACGCTCTCCCCAGCACAGAGAGCATCTTCACTGGTGACAGGACGGCGCGTACTACCATCAAGTTTTAGTTAAAGGTTTTGTTGCAGAGGGAAGATTTGCAAAACCTTCAGCTTTTCCAGCAATATCCTTAACTACCCACCCCCCGTGTGAAGTAGAATCCTTGTTAAGAGGCAAGCTTCCTCTGGAGGCCCTTCTGTGCCTGGAGCAGATCCCGCATCCGAGAAGTCCTGCTGCAGGCCAGCGTTCCCTTCGGCGTGTTCCCTCCAGCTGTTCAGTAACAGGGAGGTCAGGGCGGTTCTCTGAAATAGGCACAGGAGGGGCGCACACGCTAGCTGCCGGGGAACAAGCGTGAAGAGAAACCTGAGTGCTCCTCTAAAGCACAGGGTAGCTCGTCTATGCCCCTGAGTTTTTTAAGTAGTAACCTTAGAGATAATTCCTCCTCTCTCCTTTAGGGAAGAAGCTAAAAAAGTGTGGGAGAAGAGGGAAGAAGAATGGGAAAGAGAGAAGGCGGCCAGAGATCGCCTGATGAATGAGGTGATGACCTTTTTTGATGAGGTGTCTCTCTTGGTTCGATGAAGCCATCATTCCAGCTGTGACCCTCCAGAGGGTTAGAGCCTTCAGTACCCAGGGCAGAATTTTTCTGCTTGTCCGATACATTTTCTGAGAACTGTTTAACTGTTTAAACTGTGAGATTTCCCCAGTTCTCCTTCCAAGACTGGCCCCTTTCCTGACTTACCTTGTCCCTTAATCCTCTCACAAAGGTCCTTGCAGGCAGGCAGCGCCAGATCCAAGAGAAAATGGAGTTAAACAGACGAGCCCAAGAAGAGTCTATAAAGTATCGAGAGCAACTGATTAAAGAACTTGAAGAGGCAAAAGAACTGACTAGGCGAGAGAAGGAGCAGGAGGAGGAACTGAAGACAGCCCGCAGGCGGGAGCTGGAGGCGCAGGTACAGCTTTCCAGACACGCACCCAGCTGCGGAAGGTGCCCAGTCTGTGTCTGATCTCGTCTTCTCTGTGCCCAGCTGACAGAGCGCCGCTTACAAGAACAGGAGGAGCAGCAGCACCAGAGGGAGGAGGAGGAAGAGGAGAGATCAGCCCGGCAGCGCTGTGAGGAGTTAGTGCGGCAGGAGGCCAAGCGCATGGCTGAGCAAGGGTATCGCAGCAGGGTAGGTAGCAGCGGTGCGGGGAGTCCTGTACGCGCAGGTCACCCTGACAGGCGAGCCCGTCCGGAGGGCAACGGCATCACACAAGCAGAACGGTCATTCCCTCCAGTCTGCACCTTAGTTGCCACAGCGCCGGGGGGACACTGAGCCCGTTCCTTCCCCTGGCGTTATAGTTCTCTCTTACAAATTGCTTTTCTTTTTCTGATAGGGAGGTTTTAGGTCCCAATTTTTAAATAATTTTTGAGGCAGATTTGTTGCTACTGCCTCAGATGTTACTCTAATTATTTTCAGCATTATCAGCTGCATTAACGCGGTTGGTACAGCGCATCTCAGCTGCTCAGTGTCTTTCCACCTTCTGTCGTGCTTTGCCTAGCTCTAAAAAAGAAGCTGACTTTGAGTAACCCTATCTAAACCACATGCCCAGCAGGTCATATTTTCATACTGAACTATGAGCTACTCTGCTAGACAGTAGCTACTCAAGTCAGAGGAAGCTGGAAGGAGGTGTTACTGCCTTAAAGATCAGCTCTTAAACGTTACTGATGCTTTTTCTTGGAGGATATTCTGTGCTCTCCAAAGTACCTTCTTTGCATGCTGAATAGCATGTGTGTGGAAGATTAATTCTAGAGCCCATAAAGTAGTTATGATCTTTGTTTTGACCCTGTTAGCTCTACAGTTACCCAAAAGCAGCATGGACCTGAGGATTCTTGTCCTTTGCCCCTGAGGAACGAGCAAATGCAGTTGCAGACTGCAGAAAGAAAAGTTTGAAGAATCAAGGAACTCTTGAAATGATGGTACCTTTGGAATAGCCTATAATGATGCCGAGACTCAACTCCGTAGATTTCTGAAAATATTTAGCTGTGGCCCAGCTGAACACGAGCAAATTCCTACTGGCTTCAAGAACGCGGAGGTGCGAGCATCCTTGGAGGGCTGAACTGCCTCACTTGCTCCGTGTTCAGGAGTTGCGATGATGTATTTTAGTATGTGCTACACCGGGGCAACATGGCAAATAAATGAGCCCTTTGGATCCAAACTGTGACAGAATCCGTGCCTCCTGTGGAACAGGAACTGTAAGCCGCGACGTGCTGCATTTGCTATTTAAGTGTCAGGCTCCCTCGGAGCAGCAGGATGTGCCTAGAAGCCCAGCTGGCTTTTAGGAGTTAATTGATAACGCATTGCAAATCAGTAGGATAACGTGCTGTGGCAGTAATTCTTAACATGTCCAGTTCCTCTCCAAAACGTGCTGAAGACTTCATTAATTTTTTTTTTTTTTACCTGTTTCATAAATAATGAATAATTGCAACCTGAACAACTGTTTGTTTCTTTACGTGAGCAAACTGCTGCAACACCAGGAGGGGCGGGGAGGTTTAGTTGATTATTGCACTTGATTCTTTGCTATTACCATAGACAACTGCAGCTTAAAATCAGTCATGCACGGCAGCTGGTGTGGTGTGTTCAGATCTTGTCGCAGCGTGCAAGGAGCTGTTACAGGGCTGTGACAAAATGGGTGCCGTTTCAGCACTGCAGGCTTTCCTCAACCATAGGAACCTTTTCAAGATCTTTTCTTTAGAGAAGCAGCAGTCAAATAACCCCAAATAATTTTGCACACTGAAAGGGTTTTAGCATTTTATAGTAATACAGTAAACAAAAGATTAAGTCAAAATATTGTACAGACAGAATGACACTGATAAATACAAGTTTTGGAAAAAGGCAAAAAGATTTTTACTTTCCTATGCAGCATTTTGTAAAGAAAGAGCAAGTTTGTTTACAGGGGAAAAAGATCTAGTCATAAAAGAAAAAAACCACCATTGTTATTCCAGGTATTACAGATCTTCTGACCCGCAGTGCTGTATGATTCGAGGGCTACTCCACGTACTGCTCTTTAGTTCCACCGTTGGTTTTGAACCGTTCTGCCTGTTTGTGGAAAGAGCTGACGTAGTACACCAGCATGTGCTCAGACCACTTCTGCTTTACTGAGAACGTCAGAAAATTGCTTATCTTGCGTGATGTTTGCTTGGAGACGGGGGAATTGACCTGAAATGCTGTTTAATCAATGGCGGGTTGGCCATGTTTTTATAGCTAAGCCTTCCAACGAGCAAAATGGTTGATTTTAGAAAATCTGGAGCTAGCGTAGCTGGAACAAGGGCTTGCAGTGATCAAAGCGTCCGTTTGTTTTGGTACAGAGGCAAGTTTAAACAACTGATAACTTACAACATAACTCAGTGTTACCCTGCTTTGGAGATCAGGTAAGATATGTTAAAGAAAAGCATACAATGGTGTCCTGAGAGATTTAAAAATGCCATCCGCTGCCTTTCAATGATGCCAATTTAAGGAAAAGCTCCTAGAAGGTTATCAATGTATTTAATTGCCAGTAGCATAATTTTGAAGTAGGTTTTACAAATGTCTTTTGCAGTTCTAATCCCAGCCTGTCTGCATTCCCGTGAGTTTAGAGACAGGTCTGGAATTCAGAAAGGAAACAAAAGAAGCCACAATGAAGAACATTAATTTACTGGGCTGTCATCAACTCTCTCCATTCCTTTCCTCCCTCAAACTTGCACTACTTTAAAAAGGGAGCTAATCACAACATACAAGAATCCAACAGTGTTATGGCACTTAGTGTTTATATATACATACAAACACAGTATGATTTGAAAAGGAACCAACCACTGAACCTCAGTTCACTGTTCACCTAAGTACAGCTTTGAAGAGTTTGTGGGTTTGGCAGACTGCATACTGCAGACCTGTTTGTCGAACAGCAGATAGCCGATTCTGACTCAAATGTTCCTGTGAAAACTGTCTAAATGTTCACATCAACTGCTGCCGCGTGACAGCCACAGCAGTTCCGTGACTTCACTCTTAACTAAAAGACCACCTCAAGTGGCTGCCAGCTGAACTGCCCCGGCCGGCTCCTGGACATGACAACACCCTTCCACAGGGGCACACGCAAAGGCAAAAATTAGCAATTCCCCCCCCCTCCCCCTGCCCCATGGAATTTAGATTCCCAAAAAACTCTCATTATTTTTGAAAGTATGGACTGACACAGTTTTGTGAATTGTTATGAAAGAAAAAACCTGAAACACACAGTGACATTTGTCACCCACTTACCCCTTTCTAACGGGCAGCCTAGCTTGGGTTACTCCACATGTAGCTTGTAAAATTTTGAAAGATTTGCATAAAACTTGCTAGATATCAGAAATCTTTTCACATTTGGATATGCTGAGGTACAGAGGTTATATGCTATGGCAGACACAGCTGCTTTTGCACTGGCACTCTTCTAACTTCCTTTTTTGTTTTTACTTATCACAGAAATCTTTAGTGAAATTACATCTTGAATTACTGAGCAATGCTGCTGCAAACAAGATGGTGCCTTGAAGATGACAGTAAAATTCTGTAGGAAACTTAAGAATGAATTATTAAATCAGAAACAAAGGATAATATTTTAACCACTAATGCCCTAAAGTAACATCAAACATATATATTAATGGCATAGTGACAACTAAAAGAAATAACTATTAAGTTTCAAATTCCTTCCAAAACAGATAAAGTGACAAAGACCTTGTATAGTTACATGTAATAAGCTCGGATGCCCACAACTACTATTGTTTTAGCAGACTAAAAACATATTATTGCACAACAGTTGATATGGGAACAGATAATATTCGGCTTGTACTCCATTATCGGGACTACAACCTTCTTCCTGCTGGGTGGCAGTTACGGTCCTGGAGCCTTCAGAGCCTGTTTCGCTGCAGGTTTCTCAGTCAGCGGCACCAGGGCACATGAGACTCCAGGACAGACAGAGCAGAGGCGAGATTCTGCCCTCCGATACGTGCAGCTGACTTCAGCGGCAGTTTTTGCAAGCAGTATCTGAAAGCAGAACGTGGCCCCAGGGAAACATCTAGCAAGAGCTTGATACAACGCTGGTACGTGATAATGGCTCAACAGCTATTCGCAACATGCTATTATCTGTAACTAAACTGGCAACACAGGCACAAAATAAGGCAGTGGGTTAAATTAATCATAAAATTGTTAGAAAACATGCAAAAATAATACTGAGTTTTAAAAAAAAGTTTCTTACCCCTTTAGTTTTTTTCATAAAAATTTGAATAGTTCCACACCTATATTTGAAATTCAACCTTTAAAAAACAAGACTAAAAAGCCAAGTGTGACTCAGTTGTTGTTCTCTTTGGTTGTGATGGTAACCAGCTGTTTAGCAGCCTTGGCGATGTCGTAGGCGCACTGGATAACTTGCTGCGTGACCAGCTGGATGTCTGTGGTAGGGCAGGTCTCCACGGGAAGGGTTTTTTTGCACTCGGATTGGAGTCTGTAGGCACTAGATGTCAGCAGACGCAAAGAAGTCCTTACCAGTTCAGATTTGGGTTTCTGAGAAAGGAGAATAGAAGTTGAACTCGACAGAACAACAAAACTGTTTTAGGATCGCTTTTAATTAGCTGGTAGTGGTTCACAAGTGTTCTTTAATACAAAACGTCTCCTGCTAGGGCCCTGCTTTCTGCACGGACTGCTCTGTGCTGTAGGAGACGTTATAAGACATCACTGCAGAGACGTGGGGTAGGGGTGGATGAAACAAGTTCCTGCAATTTCTCCTCTCTCATCTCAGGAACATTTCAAACTGCTGCCAGGCAGCATGCAGGGAATACTGCTTCATGCTCTCATTTAGGAGGTTACTCACACAAATTTTCTAGTACCCGTTTACTGCTACCCAGCCCATGTCCTGGCTGACATCAGGGTACAGCATGTACAAGACAATCCATTCAGGTACACACAACAGCATTAGATTTTCCTTGCAGTTTTATAGAGGTAGGTAAGACTTTACAAAAACGTAATCACGGAGATTTCCCTCCCTAAAATTTGCTGTGAAGAAACAGATTGCTTTGGTAGATGGGTAACAGATCTAAACATAACCTGCAAGTAAGAAATCCAGGCAACGGCATTCACCCATTCAACCAGAACCTTGAGGGGGACGAGTCTAGCAAAATTCCCATACAACCACATGACTACTCAAGCTAGATGCAAGTAGCCTCCAGTTTTGGAGGAACTGTGTGCAATTCTTAGAGTTTTAAGTTCAAGAGTAAAATTAAAGGCCTGGATTCACAAATTAGTCCTTCCCAACTGGCATGCTAATAAATACAAAGATACAAGATTTGACAATAACACCTAGTCATTTCGCCCTACCTTTGGCTTTTGGTTTTCATTTACTGAAGGGAAATCTACTAACGAGGAACGAGGCCAAAAACATTTCAATTCTGAAAGGTACTTACTTTTGGGAACAAGGCTGCCATTTCCGTTACTGCCACATGTATTCTCTCGGAGCATGGTATATAGCTGCAAAAAGATGCAATGTATTACTCATTATGCAAAGACTCCCTTTCCTCTTGAATTTCACTAGTCAGTGGCTATTATTCTAAAAGCAACTGAGTAACAAAAACCCCATATATATTCTAAAAATATCTTTGTAGGCTGCACTGAATGCAACTGAAGGAGGTAGTGCAACACACCATGTGGTGACTCCCGATGTCTCCTCAGCGTTCCCCAGCACACTGCAGCACCAGTCTGTATATAACTACGTGACTTCAGAAAAAGCAAGAACTTAACCAACAGTACAAAATTTAAGTTTTCATTACCCTTTGATCAAAGTTTGTTTGAAGGAATAACTGTCCACACCTATTATACCAAACATTGTCAGAAAAAGTCTCAATTTGTATGCAATTATGGAAATGTGTCTATGAATATTAACTGCACATTAATTCATACGCTCGCATTTCCTAACCTCCCCCGAACCCAACTATTCAAACACTAGAATTCGTCTCCAAATCGTACAGAAAATCGCTCAGCTCTTTCTGTTTGGTGTATGCACAACGACATATTATTGTTACATGTGGGACAGCATGCCCAAGCAAACTGGTTCATGTGAGTCACGCACAAAGTAAGGTTCTGCAGTTTGAAAATATTTAAACAAAATCCGGTGACACAGAGGTGCTTTGGAAAAAAAGCAACTTTTTTCCTCAGTGCAGTGTTGACAATCAAAAGTGGATTAAAACCCACTTTGTATGTGGGATCTGAGTAAGTTTAGCTTGCTGCCATTTTACGGAAATCTCTATCCATTTGTTTCAAAAAAGCTCTTTCTGCATAAGCCAAGAGACTGCAAAATCAGTCTTCTAAAAGAAAGTTTTTAAACCGCTAAGGATCTAAGCAGCTAAAAATATTCAGTAATCTCTGAAGAAAAGTTAAAAAACCCCCAAAGGTATTTCAATTGATTTTATGTTTCAGATTTGAATTTTGGCCATCTAAACTCTTAAAAATAATTTAACAGCCAAGAGTTCATATTTATAGGATTTGTCTGCACCTCTGAAGCAATGCAATTTTTCTGCACTTCTTTTCCATATGTAAGTTACAACGTAGAAGCCTTTAAAAAAACCACTTTGTACCTAAGTTACCAAAATACCGTAAACCCAAAAAACTGTATTCAAAACACGTGGCAGCAAGACCTAGAGCCTGACCTCCGTAAGCTTTTAACCCATCGATTCTGAGCTAAACTCCGAGCGATCTCTGTAACAAACACGTGCCTCTCCGGGTCAGCAGCCGGGCTGGAAGCTTTAGTTTGTCGCAGAGATGCACATTGAGGACACACCTTGATTCCAAGGAGATTTATTTCCATCCTTGTATCAATTAATTATCAGTTGAAGCCAGGAATGCAGCACCATGCACATATTTCCACTTTTTCATTTCACAGATTGGAAGGTTAGACACCTCCTGAGAATGGGGTATGCCAAACTTCCAGTACAGAATTCATACCTTGCTTTTTTGGTAAAGTTTAACTAAAGGTAAAACATCATATGAAGGTAACTTAAGAACACCAAGATGCCTTCTCGGATGAATTCATACGCAGTAAACAGACAAGGAACAATTCTCACACAGCAGCTTACGGATGCATGCATCTCCAAACTACCAACTACTTTCACAGTGTGTGAGTTTTAGGCTAAATATTCAGTAATTCTGTTGTTAGCTAATAAAACAAAGGCAGATTCCATTAGTCCTCACAGATTTCACTTCTGATTTATATACCAAATGAAAATTGGTCTGTTAGAAATAGATCTTAAAACTATTTACCATAAGCTGCCGTGAAGTGCTGTGTTAGGGTGGTCTGTCAAAAGTCTAATTTCAAAAGAGTCGGGTTTATGCTTCACAGACTCAATTTTAGCATAAGTTAGTTAACATGATTCAATCTTTAAGCAAGAGAATCTCAAAAATCACAAAGCAACAGCATTCAAGAAAAATATTCAGCATCTGTAGATTATGGTAGATCATTGCCCTTTCAAGCAAAAAAACCCCAAAAACCAGTTCCCCACCCCCCAGTCATTATTTATGCAGTCATCTTGCAATACCAAAGGTGCAAAAATAGGTCACTTGCAAATGCACTGAGAAAGAAGCAACACACTGGGGTCATTTTGGCAATGCAGGAAAATTGCTTTAAAAATGAGTATTTCCGTACATCTCAAATCACATGAGTTCTTCCAAATAAACTAAAAGTGGAGAGAGGTCTTCCAAGTTCACTGTAATTCCCATTCTGCTATTGAGTTAACAATTAATTTGCTCCCTGCAAGCCACACTGAACAGCACCTTACCTCATTAAAAAGCCAGTTTGCTGATGAAACCCTCCACTAACAAGGAGAGAAAGCCCTAAGAATTACTTGAATGAAAGAGACCAAGATTAACGACACATATTTCACAATATGTTCTCTAGGTTAGCTACAAAGTTTACGGTGTGTCTTGGAGGAATGGCTTTATTTTATAGTCTAAACACTCACTGTAAGCTCATGAAATAAGCTGACACATTTGTTGAGTTTACAGACATTCCAGTAAGACATCAGGAAGATATTCAAGTAGTGACAGCTTGGAAAAAAGAATCCATCATTAGCAGTAACTTGTGGTAATCTCTTCCTCCAATCCTGGTATATTTGTCACTGGCAATAACACCTGGGGTTAGAACTTGGGAAGTTCTGTTTTAAAGAACATCTCACTTAAATTTCATTTTTATTTTAGGCATTAATAAACAATATTTTGGTCAGGTTGGAAGATACTATATAAACACACATCTTTTTTCATTGGTTCAAGATACAAATGATCTCATTTGAAACGCCAGCTGTATAAACAGTTGAGGGCGAGCTGTCAGGTGTGAACGTTGCATCTTGGGAACCGTGAAACTTCTGCTACTCTTACAACAGTGCGCAGAAGCAGCAACCACATGTTGTGCTGTTAGTTGTCACAATTTAACTTATGTCGATGGACTATAAACAGAACAGAAACAGGAGGATCTTTTACACTAGAGACAGTTACAGTTCCAGGCTGTGATTCTGTTCCACATCAAATCAATACCGGGAGCTTCGACTGAACGGGTAGTATCCTCTGTACTAGCTATCTGCAGTTTCGTTATCATCCAAAGCATTTCATGCATAGCCTTCAACGACCCCCAGAGGCAGCAGAGAGAAAGAGAAAGGACACTGTGCCTGGGAGGCAGGGACAGAGGCCAGAGTACCAGGAGGCAGGACCGGGCTGCTGGATGGTCAGAGGCTGCAGGGGAGCTCTCTCAGCCCAGGGAACCAGCGTGCTGAAGCAGCCGAGGCTATGTCTGAGCTTGAGCATGCCCGCACGCTCTAACGGTCTACTCGGCCAGTTGAGCACAGGAAAAGGAACGGAAGAAAGCGAGAAAAAAAAGGAAGAAGGTGTTTCATTAATAGATGATAGTCTTGCATCATTTTATTACTCTCCGATTATCTATGCAGCGCGTGGTTTTTATTTACAACGTTCCCAGCACTAGCTTGGAAGATGTATTATTACATCCCTAAGTATGTCATTTTGTTAAGGAAGTGTTACCCTATTGCAAGAAGAAAATGGTGGAACAAGCCTATTCCATCTCCTGCGTGCCCCAGGCTGTGCAGTTCTCAGCCCACTGAGACAAAGCCAGGGAATAGGAAAACAAAGAACAGCAGCTTCATAGTTCAGTGTTTTGCAAGATTAGACTCATTTAAGTACTGGCAAACACCCCACTCCATGCATGGTGCAGAAGAGAAAACAAAAAAAGAACGTAACAGGTTGTTTAAAAATCTACTCAATTTAACAGCAAAAGCTAGGTAGGCTGCATTGTTTCTTTCAATGATTTTTAAAAAAATAGAATTCAAATACTGTAAACTGTGATATACATAAAAACCAAGCTCATTTAAAGCTTCTCTTACTGTTGCTTCTCTGTGAGAAACAAGCAACAAGGGATTGCAGTGGAAAAGGTTACAGACAAGGGCAACGAGCTCAGCACAAACACGTTAGAACTCGCCATTCAGCGTGAGGAGGAGAGGCTGTGCACTGTCCCTTCTAAAAATAGAAAAGTACAAGAAGGAAAAAACACAGAACAAAAGTGGCCCCATTGTTGTGCACTTCTCTCAGCAAGGCAGGAAGTGAGGGCTTAACATAAATCGCCAGCCGCTTCTCACAGGCAAAGATGGGCACAGAACTTGGGACAGGAGGCAGAATGTAAGACCTGCCAGCCTGCAAGTTCAGATTTTCCAGAGACCAAAGCTGTTCCAGACCTAGAACATGTTCATACCTGGGAAGACGTAACTCTTATTGACAGTCTTCTAAAAGAGCTGTGCAGTAGCACCACCTGATGATCACTCAAGGGCAGTATCACTTTTACTCACTCACGGCTATTCTGAAAATTAATTGTTCAGTTGGGCCAGGAGTTCCCCGAGGGAGCTGAAGCTGCGTGCTACCTGACGTGCCGATGAACAGTCTCCTGCCTACCTAGCTATGTCTGTGTCTAAACCCAATAGTTCAAAATAGCTTTTGCTGGTATGTAATCTGCACTAATATTTCAGTAGGAAAACCAAATTCTCCCTGCCTTTGCAATTTTTTCCTGAAACCAGACTTGGTGTTACTATCACACTTCTGCAAGGGGTCCTTACCTAGGGACATGGAGGTCTGAAGATCCAAGAGAAACTTATGCCAGGTTCTCTGCAACATGTTTGATTTCTATCTAAAACAAGACTCATTTTGCAGCAGGACTTCACGGGCGCTTTGCTCCCCAGTGCTCCCCATCCCTGTGCCAGTTGCGGGCAGGGCAGGCAGGCGGCAGGCAGCGGGCAGTGCTGCAGCCAGAACCCACTTGCAGAGGGCTGCGCCGGCTTTTTGGACGGGCACGTGTGTTCCCACTGCCTGTGCTGGTCACTCGTCCCCGCTCACCCTGTGGCACTAGGCCCAGCACACCAGGAAACACCACGGACCTACACGTTTTGTAGGTGTGAAACCGGCATCTCCAGTACTAACACGGCTGGTGGCAGCTGTACTTCTGCAAACACCTGAAGAATTTTCTTCATTTTCTTGCAAACTCCAGAACTTTTCCAGCACTCATGCCTTACCTGTCATGCTTGTTCTCTTGCGCTGCTCGCAGCAGCTCCTGAATATTCTTAGTGATCTGCTCAGTTTTCCGAATCACGTCTTCTGTGCTGGGCAAACTGGAGCTGGGGGTTGTGTCGGCGTCTTCAGGGATGGATCCCTCCCCCTGCCAAATGACACTCCTCTGCCGGCCTTTCCTGCCTGATCTGCAAAGGAACAAAGCAGAGGTCGGCCCTGTGGGATGGAACTGGCTGCTTACGCAACTCCCTGTCCTCCAACAGCGCGGAGCTGTGCTGTCAGCTCAGCGTCACCGCGCCATCAGCTGTGCGTCACACCACCTACCCTGTCTCCTCCAGCTCCAGAGAGGCGGTGGGGTTGTCGTAGTCGCTCTCAGACACGCTGCTCTGCTTCTCCAGCTTCGAGGCCTGCAACGAATACAGATTTATTTCAGCGCTGTGTAGGAAAGAAGAGCCCTGAGCTGTGCCAGCGCCACGTCCTGCGTACGCGGGCTTGCTCTTTAGCACAACAGCCCCTGCACCAGCCGCTACCCTGGAGCCGGTGTGCCCCCTCACCCTGTGCCGGGCTCCTGCTGCCAGCTTGCACCCGAGGCCCCGGGCGCTGCTGGCACGGCACGGCCCCACCAGCCCCGAAGCGAGGGCCCTGTCCTGTCACCCAGCAGGGCGGGACAGACAGCCACAGCACGGCGTCCTTCCCCTGCCGCTGAAACTGCCATGTGGGCTCGGAGGGGGAGGCCCGCAGGGGAGCAGAGGCCAAACGGAGAGGGCAGAACCACCAGGGAGAAAGAGGCCAGACCAAGAGCCAGAGGCCCACAGCAGACTAGAGGCCAGACACAGCGAGGGAGGCTGAACACAGAGTGGAAATCAAACCGAGCATGGGAGGCTGAAACGAGAATTGAGGCCCAGCACAAGGTGCGAGGCTGAACCAAGTGTAGGAAGGCCCATGACAGAGTAGAGGCCAAATCAAGCATGGGGGTCTGACCACAGAGCAGAGGCTGACCCTGGGAAGTCCACCCACTGCAGAATAGGAGGCCAAAACAAGGGTTGAGGACTATTGCAGTGTGAAAGCCAAAATAAAGACAGGAGACTGAAATGATGGCAGGAGGCCCATTGTGGAGTGGAGGCCAAAGGGCATGTAGGAAGCTGAACTGATGAGATTTGGAGCCCATTGAAGACTGGAGGCTGAAACAAGGGTAGGAGGCCAAAATGAGGACAGTTAAGGCCCGTTGAGGATTGGAGGCCAAAACAGGGGTGGGAGGCTGAAACGGGGAGAGTTGAGGTCCATTGCAGATTGGCAACCAAAACAAGGTTGGGAGGCCAAATAAGTGAGAGTTGTGGCCACAAGAGTAGAGGGCCACTGAAGAATTCGTGTCAAAAGGAGGGTGGTAGGCCAATTCCAAAGCAGAGGCCAAAAGGAGGGCAGGAGGCACACAAGGCAATGAATGCCAGAGCGAGCATTGTAGGCACAGAAGGAAGTGGAGGCCAGACCGAGCGTGGGAGGCCCATTGCAAAGTGGGAGGCTGATCCAACCAGGAGTCTGAACCCAGAGTAAAGAATGAATAAAGAGTGGGATACCAAAATGAGCTTAGAAGCCAAATCCACAGCGGAGGCCGAACCCAGAGTGAAGGCCCACAGCTGAGTGGGAGGCACACAGTGGAGTGGAGGGTGAACTGAGCCTGTGACTCTGAACTCAGAATGGAGGCCCATTACAGAGCAGGAGGCCAAACCTAGATTGGGAGGCTGAACCAAGCGTGGGAGGCCCACTGCAGAGTGGAGGCCGGAGCGAGCACAGGAAGGCCCAGCTGCAGAATGCTGCTCCAGAAGGTGGAGGCCATAAACAGAGTCAGAGGCCCAGTATTTTCCTGCTCTCCCCTTCACGTGGCATTCTCTGGGGAGATACACAGTGACTGTGTGCACACCGGGAACCAGAGTGCCGCCCATTCCCTGCCTCTGAGCACATGCACTTCCTCCCAGGTGTAGCGGCAGAACGTTCACCACCTCCTACTCCCATACAGACCAGTTCTGCACCTCCCAGTAAAGCATCCAATCCGTGGGCAAGGATGATGCTCAGGATTTTTTCCTAAACTCCTTTTCAGCTTTTTTTTTTTTCACGCTCTCAGAGGGCTGCTAACACAAATAAGCATACTTGCACCATGACAGCTCAAGAGTGCTCTCCCTGCAGATCCTAACATACAGCCCACTCTGTCAGCAGGAGATTCAAAGTAGACTTTCATATAGAGAGCTAGGCTCCCTTCTCTGACCTGATTTAGCCTTCTTGGATATTTTATGCCCAGGCAATACAACATCCTGGAGGTTTATGCTACGAATACCCACTGTCAGGCCAATCTCTGCAGTTCACATGAATTTGCAGTTTGAAGCCCCTGAGGTACACTCCCATCTACAGCCAGGCCCCAGGATCACCACACACCCTGCCTACTCCAGTCTTAAAAATTGCAAAGCTCATCAGAAGTGCCTACTGCAGCTCGTCCATCTGCAAGTACGCCACATCAGTCTCACTCCACGTATGGCCCAGCCTCTGCATCAGCTCCTGCCTTAGTCACAGACACTGCTCACATAATAGGGTCCTTCGCAATCTCCGTTGAAGAACCAGCCTTGGAGCTTTACAGAAACTCTGAAGTTAAGATGAGGGAATTTCAAGTGTTAGACTGTAAGGGACACCTTCAATTTGCATCCCTGATCCATACACTTAGGAAATAATACTTCTACCTTGAGGACAGACCAAAATGTGACTAGGAGTTGGTTTTCATTGGTTAAGATCCAGTACGTTTGTTAAGCACTGATCTAATGTTAAAACCAACAATTCTTAACTCTGAAGCACCTGGAGTATGAACACTTTCCATCCATTTTGAAGTTACTTCGCACAGAAGGAAAAACAAGCATTTTTTTGAACACTCACCTCTCAGGATAGCTAGTAAAGATCAATTGTAAAAGTGACACATATTTTGAAGATATGAAACTATTATATGTAGGGTCTGACCCTTCCCCTCTCCCAGACGTATAGAGGAGAACAATACAATTTGTGGCAAAGCTCTATGCTATGGTAAGAAATACAAATGACAACATTGAATTACAAGAATAGGATATTATGGAATCAGTAATATAGTTTAGAATCAGTGTACAATAAAAACAAACAAAACCTCTGCAAGTTTCTAGTACTACACAGGACTGATATCAGCTGCAGCCAAACCTAGATTTGCATTTGACCAAGCAGGATACTCCCTTGTAAGTTTTATCATCTAGCCCTACTTGCAAATCTAACATTTTCTTGACTGATATGTCCAAACGCTGTACGGTCAAAATAAAATGGGGACACAAGAATTTAAAAAGCAGGTTCTTTATCCTGGCAGGAAGAGGTCAGAGTATGACCATTCAAAATCTAAACCCACAGACTTGTTTTTTAAAAAATTTAGTATTATATAGTAAAATTTGATTAGAGACTCTGCAATGCTTGCCCAAAAAACAGAATGTGACAGTATGATTTCATTATAACCACACAGGAAAAGCAGAGCAAAAAGAGAGAACTTTTCTTGTAAGATCTTTTCAAAATCATTTAAGTCTTACAAAGAAATACAAATACTTCTCTCAAGTTTACTCTCAGAAAGTCTTGTTTTAACACAGAAATAAGCAAAGCCTCAATCTTGAACACGATACAACAATGGGTATAAGCTACTCATTATTTTCTAAGAAATGACACATAAACATCTAAAAACCACCCAAAGGACCTTGCATCGATATTTGCTTCAAAGTTAAAGAGGTTTAGTCGGAGCAAGACCTCGAAATGTGATCAACTCATTCTGATGACAGAGGGTTACTTTCTGCAAGCAGTGCAAGCTGGTAGGCTCAGGCTCGTCAAACAGCGGCGTAAAAGCTACGGGTTTTCATCTTCAGCATTCATTAGTCTGTGACACATGACTCAGGACCTGCTCAGGGTCCATTACTTCAGTCACAGCCCCTTCATAGCCAAAAATGGATGTTATTCTAAAGCAGCAAATGCAATGTGCTTTTCCCTTCTTTTGAATATGTAACTTGCAATTAGTTCAAGGATCCCAAATAAAACAGAGTCTAAAAAGAAGCTGTAATGGACAGACTAGTCTATCAAACTGTTTGCCCTGCTAAATATGTCCTTTTGCAAGGTGGCATTTTATGCTCACTCAAATTCATTTGCTAGAAGTAAGACTAGATTTAAGTGTCCCACTCCAAAAAGAGAACAGTGTTTAAAAAAAGTTTAAGAAGCTGGACAAGGCTTCTCCAAATAGCTAATAGCTCACATATGAGGCCACAGCAGATAGTGTCTTTGGAATAACACAAGCTTACAGAATGCATTTAATGTTTCTTGGTAACACTGCAATTTTTTTCCTAAGAACAAAGTTTTGTAGATCCTGATGGAACACCAATATAAGCTTCCTTTATACTTTTTCAGTGTCTTTAATCTTGGCCTGAAAGGAATCTTGCTAAAAACAATTCCCATGACCAGTCTTTTGTCTATCAAGGTGAGCAGAAAGCAGGCTAGCTGATACTAAATGCATCGGTGGGCAATATGAATGGCTATCTGCATGCTTAAAGAACTCATTTCAAACAAACTAATGAACATCTGTAAGATAAACGGTCAATCAGTACCAATTTGGATTGGTGCAAACTGGCAGCCCCCAAAGAAAGCTTGAACCCAGTGAGCTTCATATGCCTCATGCAGTGCATTTTAGTCAGGAGGAAGAGTTATATATTGGCGTATGGAATATCAGTGAGTGCCTGCCAAATTACTTTCCAAACAGCAACCAACTTGTCTTCTGGCTGTTTTCAGTGTTACGCACTTGAACAAGTGATATGGAGTAACTGTGCATAGTGTTAAATGCTAAAGATTTTAGCTGTTGTGAAGTTAGAGAAAAGCAAGTATCCACAGCATGTGGCAGAAGAAATGGAAAGTGATGAAATACTGCTTCGTGCAAGCATGAAAGCTAGTCAGCATAAGAGGGGAGAAGACAGAGGCATAATGGCTTCTAGGGAGATTGCCACCTCCTCCAGGTAAAAGACCAATTGGGAAGGTACTTAACCCTTCGTGTGCTTTCATCCCTTGACCAGGAAAGCGTGGAGGGGAAGGAAGGTAGAGATGAAGAGGAGGTCACAAACGCACTCCTCCCGATCTAAAAATGGGAAAGAGAAAAACACTCGGGAAAACCAAAACACAAATAAACTCTTAACTGAAATAAAGGAACATTCTTAAAACCATGGAGATGACATAAAGCAAGAATGATTTTGAGAATTTGGCTAAGCCTGAGCGGACTTAATTCTTTCAAAATACAATTGACTTCATGTTAATTCTAATATTGATATTCCAGAGGTGCTGAATTCCACAGAGAATAAAATACATTCACCATAATACCAAATTAACTAACTCCACATAACAAATTAATGCTTCAGAACTGCTACTTCTAACCAAATTTCAAACCAAATGACCAAAGGACCTATACAAAGCACTGTCATGTTTTGCAAACACTGCCACATACAAAAGAATTCTGACATTTCTTGCTGCCAGAACTGCCTATATATCAACATGCCATTATAATTTAAAATGACCCAGATTCCATAGTTTGAATTTCTTATTAATTTAATTGAAGAGGGGGGGAAATCCAGCATACCAATTTCTGCACTGATTCCCTGGTGCACTCAACTGTCTTCTTTGGAATGTGCATGGAACATTTGCCCTCCCTCATGCCAGGCAAAAAACCTGTTAACTTCCAAATATGTTTTAAAGGGCTTAATTATTCATCTGGAAGGAAATACAAGACAGTGCTACCAACAGGGAAACATATTGAAACAAATCCACAAATGTTAAATACGTGCCTAAAAAATATTGTCCCATATATATTGTGGTTAAAAGAACAGCTGAGCAGAAGCCAAAAGCTCCAGTTTACATATTCCAGAATTGTTATAGCTTTTACTTTTCAAAACATCAAGCTCCTGCAGACATGTTAATACAGCAAACATTAACAATTTTTACAGTTCAAATTCACTCTGAAGCAGACAGTTGAGCAGCTTTGGTAAATGAGCATAGTTGGAATAGACAGAAAAGCTGAATGTAAGAGGAAATGCAGAAGCACCAGCAGTTTTACTTACATGTGAAGGGAAAGGCTGCAGTCTTGTTATGCTTTCTTCTGGGTATGTGACCTCTCCCATGGGGAGGTAGGGTTTCTGACCTGATCCAGTCTCATACATGGACATGGGTCTGCTACCCCGTGCAGATGGTCGCCGCTTTAAAGAAGAATTGTTGGTAGGGTCTGTGTATTCAGAACCAGTTTGGACCTGATATATATTGGTTGTGGCCTGTCTTCTGAGGTTCGTATTCTCACTCTGTAGCGTTTGAAGCTGAAAGAAATGTTTAGCAGTGGGACTTTGTTTTTCCAATAGCAAGCGTCAAAAGCAAACTGACTATACAATACACGCTTGTCAGCTTTACCAGGAAACCCAGTTACTAGTTGGGGTTCGATTTCTTTTTCAAAATCTACTTGACTTGCTTAGTATAAGCATAGAAACATCTACGTTCCAGATCTGGAAATATTTATGTGCTGATTTCCAGCACTTTTTGCTGGGATGCAAGCTAAATTAGATCTTAAAATTGGCTGTTGTAGTTAAAACACACAATCCATTTCTTCCAGCCTGGCTGTACTGGCACATGAATTGTGTAATATAATGAGGTTGTGGGGGGGAAGGACTGCCAACGAAACAGTTTTTCAAGCAAAGTGATCCACTTCAGCAGTCGATACAAGAACTTAGAAGAGGACTTTAACACAAGGCCTATGAAATCTGAAAATGCCAAAACTACAGCATAGACACCAGAGGCAGCGCACAGAAAACTAGAGCTTGCTCTGCAAAGCAAGAAGAGAGTTTAGCTTATGAAAATTAAGTATCAGCTACTGCTTTCTAAGAAGCCAACAAGAAATAATTTTAAAGTTTTTATTATTATGTATTTGATGGATAATAAAAATGCACCGATTCTGATCTTTTTTGTGGAGTTACTCACAGTAAGTTTGCTATATTAACACATCATAAAGAAAAGATGTCAAAAAAGTCAGTATCAGCAATTCTCTAACAATAATTGAGTATAGTTGATGCCCTTTTAAACAGGAAATTGCGTATTTACTACTTGCATTTACTTTGCACCATATGAACCTTCAAGAACATTACCTCTACCAAAAAATCCTATTTTGCCTAGAGCACTTCCCAGAACCCTAAATCGAAGGTACAGACTTCTATCAAGATAATTTATGCTTTTTCTCCCCACTTTGTGTGCTCTGTAGTAAGATGCATCAAGTCTTAAGATTTGAGGATCAGCCAGGAGCCAAGCTTCCCCTTTAAAGTTTGACATTAGAGGCAATTAAATAGGTCAGCTTTATAGCCTCCTTCTTCCAAACTTCTTCCATATTTTAAAACGTGCTTTTGGTGCAGTTTTAGCCAACAGCCAATGTAAACTCAGACCAAACTCTCAACCACCTATATGCACCTAAAAACATCTGCAGGCATAAAAACCACAACTTTTTCCATTAGAATGCCCATTAAAGCAACAGAACTATTTTCATTTTTATTTAGGAAGAACCTACTCTAAAGTGGCATTCATCAAGTGCAGCTTTGCCTCTTCTTTAATTAGCATCTTTTGCTTAGTAATTGCCATGCAAAAGATTAGATACGCAGGTGGCTAGTAAGGTGATACATAAAGTGGACAGATTTTTTTAGTTTATGACCTTCTAAGCCCTTGCTTAGAAAGCAAAAAACCAAAAAAAAAGGGGGAAAAAAAAAAGAGAGACTCTTGAATGACATCTATTGCATTAGAATTGCTGAAGTAGTACAAATATATTGGTGTCTTGCCACAAATAACCCAGCAGAGAATTCCCATATTGTACTGAAGTTCCCAGTAGCTTAGAGCTAAGAGAGCTGTTACCCCTTCCTCCCATCCTGCATTCTGCAATGACGCACAGCTATATCGATTCTTTACCAATCCAGAGCCACTAAACACCAAGTTAAAGAAGCCCCATAGCTACATACATCATCAGGACATAAAATTAGTGCAACTCATCTTCAAGGTGAGCGAGCCCTGGCTACGCCATTTTTCAAAACAAGTTCAACTGCAGCACAACAATGATCTCTCTTCTGCTACATCACATATATATACTGAAGTCTCATTAATTCATAGGCCCTAAACAGTTTCTTTTTTACCCTAAATAGACTGTATCTGTTTAAAGAAACTCAATATAAGTGAAAAGTTAATGCAATTTGATACAGAGAAATGCTTAACCAGCACAAGCTGTTAGAAGACCAAGGAAATACCCTGAGATCTCTTAGGTTCCTCTGAGTATCCACCATTCCAATAGATCTGAAAGGCTGAACACAATTGTAACAGAAGGATGGCACTGAACAGCCAAGGATATTCAAATCTGCTGACTTAGCTTGGCCTCAGATGCTTAAGAGCTCAACAGTTCTCACCACTCTCCAAAGCATCAGCCTCTTTTCCCCAAAACAACGGGGAAACAAGCTCTCACCACAGGCTCACCTCTGCAGGAGCACAGCTTGAACAACTTTCTCTACAGGGAGAGAGCTTACAGGGAGACTATAAGTGTTGCAGTATTGTAATTATTTGGAAAACAGGATTTTTAACACTAGGTAAAGGAATTAATTTGAGGAAGCAGCAGCCCTTTCTAGCTAGCATGACAGACAGAATAGTGAACTTAATACAGATATAAATTCTCCTTTACCCCACAAAAATCTCTATTTACCAGAGCACTGGCAAAGCATTCAACAAACTGTTGATTTGTTTATATAAGGATTAGAAGGTGTGGCTTCCAAACTGGGTTTTTGGAGCTTTACATTCAGGATTTTAGCAAAAACGTTCAGTTTTCTGTTTGTATAAGACTATCTATACATAGTAACTCATATTGTAAATGAGATACCTCTACATTATCCTCGTCTAGACAAAACCCACGCTGAAGGTTTAAAGCAGTAATTGAGTTTATCACTGTATCTTTTATGTGCTATTTCCCACACATTGAAATGCAAGCAAATAAATCTTGGCCTCCTGGTATACAAGAATTTTATATTGTATTGCCACATTTCAGATTATTTTCTACTGCCAAACTGGATTGGGATTTTAATTTCCCTTCATTCCACCTAGACTTATTAATGGAAAAAGACCCAACATATTTATCAGAAAAGTTGGAAGTATATTATATAGATATGTGCACACACGTAAGATGTGTGCTAGCACTTACTTCCTCATTGTTGAAAACTGCTTATCTTGAAGCAAGACAGCAAAAACATACAAGACTTGCAACAACTGTCTTGTCACTTGGAAAACTTAGTCCAAGTGAACTAAGCAGATCATCATCATCCCCACAAAAAAACATTTAAAGCATGTGCTGCACATATACATTTATAGTCTCATATCTGATTCCAAAGCAGCTCCATTTTAAAATAAGTTTTCTTACTATCCTAATATTGGGTTATTGCATCTTCAGTTTCAGCAGTTTTACACTGATCAACTTAAAATACATCAAGAGATGAAGGGGTTACACTATTGTGCCTGTTACCTTTTTCTGCATGATTCGCAGCTCATCACTCAAGTTGACGTTCACTTTCATTAACTGCTGAATCTTTACCTCGGAAGCCACCAATGCATTTTTAACTTGCATATATTCTTGGGCTGTCACTGGTCCATCTGACAAGTCTGAATCCAGGCTCTATGAACAGTAAGAGAACAACACTTACACCTTTGAGACACAGACTACCAAAAGAAAACAAGACTGAGATTTTGACAGCTTTTCATGTACTTACTTTAAAGGAATCATGGTTCAAATTAAGTTCAAATTAATAAGATCCATTCATAAAAATAATTTTAGTCCAATACAAAAAAAATTTTACGTCAATCAACTCTTAGCTCCTCTACGCACAAAAACATTTGTCTCAGCATTTCACTGACACAATACTCTTTCGTAAGGATTTTTTTAAAAAATATGCAATAAAGAACTGGAAACTCATAAAAGACAGATTACTAAATATTCAGTGTGCATGCTACCAGGGAAGATTAAACTAGAACTACTAGGTGTACTGCCCCTTTTTTACCATGCTGCATTATTTTCAGGAATGGTTTAAAACACTTAGTCACTATTGGTCTGCTGTAAATATTTCTTCAGTAGGAAGCGGTAAATGTTTGTGATATACCATGGAATCACTGATTAAGAATGTTTTGATAGATCCAATTATTTCATCTGTGCAATTAGATCTATACCTTAACTCCAGACATGCACAATGGCGCACATTACTTTTCTAGAGGTGGATTTTATTTATAATAAAAATTCCTTAAGTCACAACACTTAATTTTGTTAAAGTTCATGGACTGAGGCATGATTCTGAAATGAATTTGAAAATGAATTAAAATATTCATTTTCTGATCATTTATGCATGTTAAATCCCCTCACAAGGGGAAAGATTCACTGCAGATTACCTTTATGAATAAAATTTGGTGTGTGTATAAGTATTTCAAACCTACCTTCTGTCTGTTTGATTTAGCTGCATTTGTTTCCAGATCTGTATCTTCATCTGAAGCAACGCTGTCATAATCAGGCTGGTCATTATCCTGACTTTCACTACTATGTTGACTGCTGATTGATTTGAGTATCAGTTCCACATTTTCTGTAGATCAACATATACCATTTAAAAACGTACTAGTAAGTTTGGAGAAGAGATGGAAGTGCATACTTTAAAGTAATTAGAAAAAAAAAAAATCGGAAAAGATCTTCAATCAGAGAGACAATACAAGACATGGCATAATAAAGTATCATTTGAGTAGCCCAGTTCAAAAAATTAATTTAGATCCACCTAATAGGTATGGATTATTACTGTCCAAAACATCGAAGTTTTATGGTTTTGTCTTTTCATTGTAAGTGTTCAGACAAGTTAAAGTAAGTGGTGAGAATCATGCTTTAGCAGCTTAATAAAATTCACGTAAGGAAAAAGAAACCCAAAACAGACTACACTGGACAAATGGATGTCAACATTCAAATGAAAAATATAGGCAAAAATTAGAAGTTAGAAAAGATTTTTTGTATTTTCTCTCCAGAGGGAGAACTGGTGTTCAGATGTTGTTTCATACCATCATGGCTAGAACTATGGCTCTGCCTGGTTGTTGGCATAGGTATTTGTATTCTTTGGTATCGATCATGCTCAAGAAATACAGAAAGTAAACATTTTTAGGCAAATCAGCAATAAGTTCAAGAGCACCTAAATTACAGCAAAGTCCTGCATGTATAGAGCAGCCAGGAAAGCCAGCATCTAAAACACTGACATTATCCTAGCTGCCAATCAAAAGAAGTATCACTCTAAAACCGTACAGCAGTATTCTGGAAAATTTTACCAAGTTATCATAAAAATCACAACCACCATAAAAAGATGTTCCTGAATTGCACACATCCCACTTGATTTAATTGTATTACAAATACCAATCTTAACAGACAAATCTCCTGTACTTGGGCATTATTTTGGTGGTCTAATGCATGTTGTCAATAGCCTGCTATCCACATGATTTACTTCTTATCATTTATAAAAACAGTATAAATCTCTCTCTTCATTCATACAGTACTTCTGAATGAGGCTATGGTATTGATTAAACTACTGAAAAACTGCATATAGAAGAGCCGACAACCAAAAGTATACCCACCTTTTGAACCAGTGAGAGGATTCCCCTGTTGTCTACGTTTGGCATCACTTAAAATATCTATAACTAGCGTAGCAAATTCATGGGCATTAAATCGAGCCAGTTTCTGTCTTCCCTAAATTACAGAATAATGCAGAAAAACCAAAAAAGTACATCATGTATTAGATGAACAGCAGAGTTGTCAGGTAAAACTAAGACTATAGCACTTACAGTGAGTTGATTGTTTAATTACATTTATTGCAAAAAGTGTGATTTAAATTATCCAGCTGCACACTCCAGGGCAGGGGAAATGTGAAACTATTTTAACCTCTTTACAAGTAGATGCAACTCTTCTACAGTAATGAAGTACAGTAAAGCAGTATTACTTAGAATACCTGGCCTATTAAATAAAAACAGTTTTACAGTATTAAGAAGATTGCATACCTGATTCCTGGTTGAGGAATATTCAGGATTTACGGGAAGAAAAGGGACCACTGTGGTCTCTGTCACAAGTGTACTATGATTCTGAGTAGCAAGCCAAACTGCTCGAGGGAAGGAAAAGAAAAAAAAAAAAAAAAAAGGGAATAACCTTCCTGTACTATTTGACAGTGTTTCTTGTCAAAGAATAAAAGACAACTATTTCAAACACAAACACAATCAACTCAAAGAAAGGCTTTTTTCCCCCAGAAAAAAATTTGTAAAAAACATAGGATTTTTTTCAATTTTCAACATCACCTTCAGACAATGCAAGACAAAGAAACTACCATTATCAGTAATTACTGAATACAAAAGTACTTTAAACAGAACCATATGCTTGCACTGGCATCTTGCATATAATGTAACAATTCAAATTTGTTTTATACACATTCTGGAAAGCCTCATTCACCTGCGTCTGTTTCCCTCCTGTCAACTTCATCATACACATCCATGGCAAGTTCTTCAAATAAGTGGTTGCTTAGCTAAGGGTAGGAGAGAATAATTACAGCTTGAAAACAAACAAAACCTAGTAAGACCTCTATAACATAGAAAATATAAGAGCACAACTCTGCTTGGCTGCTTTTCAGCCTATGTAATTGCTTGTTTCTCAGCCTGCATAGTAAAGTAATCCATTAAGCAGACATATATGACCACTCAATTGCTAGATACAGAGACAACAATACTGTTCTACACTTTTCCTTTACTGGTTAATGGATTTTTTTCCTCTCCTATCCGATCACAAAAAGACCTTGTGTATTTGGGGTGAAGCAGACCTACTGTGGGCATTAGGTATCCAAATGCCACTGTAGATGTGGGCTTAACTGAACAGTGAAGACTCACAAAACACTTGGGTGTTTCAAACTGTGTTCCTACAGTGGATGGTTCAAGAGAGATACTTGTGTTACGAAGAAGTGAGCTGTTGGAAGATCAGACATGAAATTAAGATGTCACAGGGCTTTGTGGATGTTTCACTTACCGACGTACAGTGTATTAACATTAGTAATGGGTACCAGACTTGGTAACTAACTGACAGTGTAAGCAAGCCTGAATAGATGGCTGATTTTCCTTCTCTGGGACAAGCTATACTAAAAAGGGTGAAAAACCTAACACTTTTTCTAGACTTTAGCTTTATTTACAGGAAAACCAGTCCTGCTTTTTCCAGAGTTTGAGTCCTAAATTCTTAATCAAAGAGCAACTGCCATCATTCCTGAACCCAGATAAAGGCAGTATGTTTACTTGTGTACTGGGTCTGGCTGGGATGGAATTAACTTTCTTCATAGTAGCCCACAGAGTGCTTGCTGTGTTTTGGATTTGTGGCTGAAACAGTGTTGATAGCACTAGCTTGTTTTGGTTACCGCTGAACAGTGCTTGCACAACATCAAGGCATTTTCTTTTTTCCCCCACTCTGCCCATCCCACCACCCAGCAGCAAGTAGGCTCAGGGTGGGCATGAAGCTGGGAGGAGACACAGCCAGGACAGCTGATGTGAATCCGCCAAAGGGATATGCCATACCGTACCATGGCATGCTCAGCAATAAAAACTGGGGTGGAGGAAGAAGTAGTTTTGTTTTGGGCTACCAAGGAGGCTGTGCAGAGACTGGCTGGGCAGCGGTCTGCCTGTGGGAGGTGTTGAGCGATTTCGTTTGCCGCACTTGTTTTTTTTCCTCTTTCCTTCACCTATTAAACTGCATTTCACTCAACCTATGAGTTACTTCTGCTCTTCCTGTGCTCTCCCCACTCCTGCTGGGGGGACTGTGTTGGTGCTGGGCTGCTGGCCAGGGTCAACCCACCACAACTTGCAAAAATACAATGCAGGAATCCATCTACTTCTAGCTAGCTATGCATTTAAAGTAGCTACTAACAGCATGTTAACAGCAGAAAGCCACTTCTAAAGGAGGATTCATGTTTGGTTTGTATTGATTACTATTCGAATACCAGTTCTACACATGCTGGCTTGCTTAGCTGAAATTTTCATGACCAATAGCATTACCTTTACAGAAAAATGGACATTGTTGAATAGAAGAGTATCACCAGGATTGTTCTTTCCCCAACTGCAAAATTTTTATCCTTTGATACAATTTGCTTAAAAAGCTAAAGTTTGCTAAAAGCTTTAAGTAGAGGGAAAACATATCCCCACTCTAACTTGTACAAGGATTTGGTCACCAACACTTCAGTAAAACTAGTGAGCTGGCATTACTATCAACTAATTAGCAGACAGTAATGCACTATTCTGACTTTCCAGAAAGTTAAAGGCAAATAGTAACATTTAACAAACAGATTTATATAAAACACATGACAGCAAGACAAACAACAAAGTTTAAGGTTCTGAACTGGGGACACAGACCTAGAGATACTACCCTAAAAAAGACCAACAAGTATGTGTTCTCCATGATGGATTTGTCATCATCTCTGCTCCTCCATTTCTGCCTATTTTTATGTTTTTCTCCAGACTTTTAACTTGCTACAGAGTTGACATTTATTTATGCAGGAATTAATAGCAGCTGAAACCAGCGTGAAAGATGAAGTGCAGAGTTTGCCACGTCTAGACAAAGATGTGTCACACAGCACACACTGGAAGTTTTACTTACAGATTGAAGCTTCTTCTTCGCTGCTTTTGCAAGTTCTGATAAATCTAGACTGCTATGAAAACAAAAAGTGATCATTACATCTGCAGCACTTAACAGCTTGTCTAAACACAAATTCTACGTTTCAATAATTCAATGATTAAAATGTCACTTTTATTTGAAACTCCTTAATATTTCAGTATTTTTAATATAGTTTTTAACACATTGATCTTACTAGTATTGCTAATACACCAATTAGTATAGTCTTAAGCTTTTCTAAACAACAATCTTAAATTTAAAACAAAAGAATATGAACATCCACATTTGCATAGCTCAAGAAGCCATCCAGCTGTAGCGCAACAAAATGTTTTCTGTAAGGAATCTGAACGATATGATCATTCTGACCAAAACTCGAGTCCACAGAAAACACACAGGATTTGTTCCACTGGACTTTGCAGGAGGTAGGTGACCATCAGGCTGGCAAATGGCTACAGTGATAGGGCCATGCTTAAAATTATTCTGTACTGATTAAGAAATAATCTCTTCTACTCGTTTCCAGCCTTGAACATGAGGCACAAGATGAAGATTGTGCAGTTCAACAGAATTTATCATAAAAGTCACAGATCAGGAAGCTGACAAGTTTTGAGTCCATATTTATACCACCTGGGGAAGACTCCCCTGACCTACAAGGAGGGAAAGGCCCAAATAAAACCTCTGTATGATTAACTGACATCACAGAGAGTTTGTGTAGGCAGTCACCTAGACAAGAAAGAAAGAAAAAAAAAAAAACCAAAAAAAGACCAGCGGAGGACATCAGGCAGAGCTAAGACAGTCAGGCTGTACTGCAGGCTCTGCAATCTGAGCAGCATCTTTCAACAAGTAATTTTCTCTGCACGTCAACTTCCTTCTCAGTGTAATGAGGCAAATGATACTTACGCCGCTCTGCAAAATACTGTGCATTGAAAACGCACAGTACTTTATCCAATAGCTAAACACAGCATATCTAAAAAAATTACAGATGTTAACACTATTTTACCAACTATTACATACTTTCTACAATTTTTATTTTATTACAGTTTTTCATAGAAATTTTGCAAGTAATAAGTTGAACAACAGTTTACTTACAGCCGTCTTATTTCCAATTGCATAGCAATAAAAGAAAAATAGGGACTTATGATTAATACTCGGTATGTTTTATACAAATACGATTTCATGGATTCGTTACAAAAGTTAAAAGCACTCAGATGATTAGAAGTACAAATATTTTCAGAGAAAAATGCAGCCTTCTTGCAAGTATTAGTTTCAAAATGCTGTATCAGGAAACTAACTCAATTGGTCCTTTCATTATTTACAAAATCTGTTTCCCAGGAATCCCCATACCTGTTCCCTTAATATAGTTGTCTCACCTTCCCCCTGCATTTTAACAAATACAGTCAACTTCTATCATTTTCTGATTTTGTGTAAATGCCAACATTCTTTCTAAAAAAAAAAAAGCTTCCAAGATTGATAAAGGCACACACTAAAAAGTTAGAATGACAACAGGCTTAAAAGTTGTTTCAGAAAGGAAAGGGAACTTAATTATTAGGGGTTTTTTTATTTTGATGTTTTCAGACATGCCATGGAATCAGCAGCTTACCTGTCTGCCATCTGAGGTATAACAAAGTGCTGTCCATTTTTATGCTCTAGAGTTGAAAACAAATTGTACTTTAATAGGTTGTTACTGGACTATAGTTTTAAATGTTATCAGGATATACAGCTGGTGTTCAGTTTTACTAAAAGACATAGTAATGAGAAACCCAAGAATATATGCAACAGGCAAATATAGAATAATTTATCTTGCGTGTAATTACTCAATTTTCAATCATAGGAAGCTAGCAAGTCTTAAAAGAAGGTTCCTATCACAATTTGCTAGTGTTACCAAAGATTCCAATTAAGGCTTATCAACTGTATTAAAATTCCATTAAAAAAAAAGTTAAGTACTAACATAGATGCCTTTATGGCACCTAATGGCTAAAAATTTTTAGGTGTGCTTGAGTTCAAAAGCTACCCACTTAATTGAATACTCCCCTGCTTTTCCATTTCAATGAGAAGAAACTGCTTAGAAGAGTTTCTACGGTATCTCCTGCAGACTATTCAACATTCACAGAATTTATATTTTCCCTGCAATTCACTCCTTGAAGTTAAACAGTACTCATCTGATCTTATGTGTAGGTTTCTCCACACTTTCAGGGGTATTCTATTTATAGAACACATATTTGTGGAAAAACAGAAAGGAACTTAATTTTTAATTTAGGTATACTTAAACTCCTGCAGTTTTATCTGAATTTTAAATGCATTATCATTAATAAATGCATTCATATGCATAATCACTAACCTTCTCTAGTTCTTCCTGTATAATTTATATAATGTTAGAGTATTTGCAATGCATATAAAAAGTGTAGTTACACTGACACAAACATCATATACCGTAGTTTGAACTGTCCTATAATTAACACTGAAAGATCTCGGAGTGTAGTTTTTTCTACTTACCTGGTTTCCTGCCACAGAGATAGAAAGCTAACCTGTCTGTGAGTTCATACTGAATTTCCACCAGGCGCTCTGCCAGTTCATGATGCCCACCTTGCCTGGTTTACACACACACAAGTTACATTAGTTATTCATTCTGAGACACACACAAAATTTTAAAATGGTTAGAGAAACAGATATAGTACAAGCCAGTGTTCAATGCTGCACATGTTTGAGTGTATCAAAAGAGCACAGACTCACAGCAGGATTTTCAACAGTATGTTCCAGTGGGCAAAAAGCTATAGATAAACTTTTACAAACTCCCCAAAATGAGTCAGTGAAAACTCTGAAAACCTTTGCCTACTGCTTTGCTGTAGAAAAAAACCAGATTATATAGGCTATTTTGAACATGTTATTTACAATTTCCTAGACAGTTCCTGAGCTCATGCAACAAATTCACCCAACTTCACATTTAATTAATAGCTTTGAGAAATAGAAATATTCTGGCATACTGTGTTCTGCAACCAAGTGAATTTATTCAGTCTTCAGATCCCACGTATGGCCTCAATTCAAAAGCAATCAGAGTGATGAGGAGGTTTTATTTACACAAATGTGCAGCTTCTAGCTGATCAGTAACGTCCAATTTTGCATATAAACACAAAAAATCTTCAGTGCTGTGCTGCAAATCTTGCAGTGCCTCATTACTGCCCAACTGATCAACAGAGATATTCATGTTTAATCTTTCCTGACATGAACGTTGTCTGCCCTTGGGAAGCCTAGAGCCTTTCTAAAGGTAAGCTTTCCCGAGGGTGCAGTTCTGCAACTGGATGCACCTAACAGTTCACTGCCACTAAAAAGCCTGGTTCCACGCCCTGCTCCCTGACCCATCTGTGCAGTCCAGCCCTTTCCTACAGCAGTTCCCCAGTTAATCCACAGTCCTGGAGTTTACTCAGCTTGCTGAACTTGCAGAAACTCTTCTCCTCAGCTTACTTTTCTGTGATTCTGCTAGATTGACACAGCCTATTTCATTGGGATCACAACTGTTGTCTCAAACGCCCAGGAGAATACAGGCTATGAAATGATGAAAATGCTTATTTATACTCTTTATGCATTCGCTCTTTCTGGAAAAAGTACTTATTGGCATTTAACGGTCAAATTATTTTCAGGACAGAAACATATCTAAGCAGGTTCATCACATGATTTACAAACATCAGTTAATATATAAGAGCATCACATATATAAGAGCCTTCTACCTTGCATAGTCAACTGGAGTTTTCCCATTGGAATCTTGCGTGCCAGGATCAGCACCATAAACGGCTAATAATTCTGCTTGTAAAGTCTGCCCTGCCTTAGCAGCAACATGGAGCGGGGTGTTTCCTTTCTCCTACAAGTTATTAAGAAAAATATCTACTTAATCAACAGGTCTGAGTAGAAGATTGAAATATAATGTGTATCAGCTGAAATCAGTACAAATATTATGAACTGTAAGAATTTATTGTATATCAAAATAATGAAAAAAGCATTCATACAGGATGAAAGAAGTTGGCTTGAGCTCCTAAGGAGAGTAATCGCAAACATGTCTCCAGATTCCCTGTCCTTACACTGGAATGGAGTTGCTGAAAAAGAAGCAGGATTGTACTTAATACAGCGGCAGTAACTGTGACTCATCATTTGTTTTTTCAGCCATGCTTTTAGAAACAGGTATACAAGAATTCTTGCTACAGCTGTTTTGTGTAAATGTTTTTCTCCAAGTTAACCTAAATTGATGCCACTCAACCATCCTCATCTCCAGTATCCATATATATTACCCAAAAAAAGTGGCTTCAAGTTGAAGTCAAGCCGTATTTGTTGATGTCACTATTGCTGTTCTTCAGCACTATTATCTCAAGTCAAAAGCAACTAATTTCATTCAGTCAGATTTCACTGTTCTGTTACACAGAAGTTGTAGCTTCTGCAGACTGCCAGAAAAAACATACTAACCTTACTAAGATCTTTGGCAGTAACACTGTCATCTTCACGGCATGGCAAGCGATGAACAAATGCTAACATTTGATATTTAGCTCTAATGAATTCTGCTTTATTGGGACTGTAAAGAGAAACCCAAGCAACAGAAGGGAAAGAAAATAAATTAGTGCTTTCACAATAATATAGATGCTCTAGAAAAAGGAAAATTCACAAGTGATGATTGCATTAGATCTTTGCATGCTACTAGTAGCAAAATTGGACATAGAAAAATATTTTCATTAAAAAAACAACCCAGTGCAGATTGTCTAATTATATAGTGCCTACAAACATCAAAGTATCTGCATACTCTAAGATGTAGTGTATATTTCTTAAAATTAAACATAGAACTTAAAATTATGCCAACTTAAGATCTACACTTACTATATGCAGTTATTTACATTTTAAAATGAAGCACCATATTCAGTGACAGAAATCTTCTCTCAATTTTTTTTTAATTCATCAATCAAACTCAATCTCATTAGTAGCATTCAGTTAACTGAAGCACGTGGCATGAGAATTAACAGTCTTTTGATTCAAGTACAAGTAAAGGTCCTCATTATTCAAAGCTAGAAGTCAGGAATCAATAGTTCAGAGAATTCAAGCAATGTATTTCCATTTTTGCAATAAATTTTAAAAAATTAATCATTGGCAATTAAAAAAAAAAAAAAAAAAAAGAGTGAACAAATAACTAGTTTACTCCTGTTCTCTTCCAGCAACAAAATATACACATGTTCCCATGGATACCTTGCTGCCTCTGTCACTGCTGAATAAAATAATCATACTTCTACAAAAACAAAAATTTTGTAATTTTCCACTTACTGCACTTTATCCTGTGGGCTAGCTTTGCGCCTTCCACTCATAACAGAGGCAGGGTCCAGCAATGAATGTTCCCATATGGAGTTAGCACCATTATTGTACAGTGTTTCAACCATCTGAAATCCAAAATGTATACAAACAGGCAGTAAAGAAATTTTGCTGCTAGCTGCACAGACTGACTAATCAAATATCTGTAATTATTTTCAAGCGAACAGCAAGCCAACAGAAATTCTTATTCTGCGTGCCAGCATCCATAACCTGCTGGGATATCAGAACCAGGCACATGCCTAGGAGGTTATTATGTGGAATGTAGTAAGAACCCCCTTAAAATTCTCCACTCTTCTCAACAGCAGCTCTACTGAAAAGAGAGGCTTGCTATATATTGAAAATTTAGGTTGAAGCAGATGCATTGCAGAAGTCTGAAAGAAAAGTTGAAGGTGGCCTTCCAAAACAAAGGTATCAAATTAAAAAGGCATAGACAATCCTGATTTTAGTGGTCCATCATGGCAAAACAAGAGAAATAAAAGGAGACTAACTTAGAAAAAGAAAGCTTAAAAGGACCAGCTCCTCTCAAACAAAAGCTTAGTGATTTAAATTCCATAAAAAATGTTTAAAAAGTTAATATATCTAGTTTTAATGAAGGAAGACACAGTTTTACTTTTTACCTGCAGCAGTGTTGGAGGCCATGGTGTATGCTTGAGATGTCTCACTTGAGAGATATGACGCCCCAAACTTCGATGAACACTACAGCACTCGTCACAGATCAGAATCCCCCTGTTTATAGATGCCCAACAAGGATCTGAAAAAGAATACATTAATTACAACACAGAAGACAACATGACCTTGTATTTCGAACACAGGGTCTAAACTGAGGAGCCCTGCCTTCTAACCTTAGCTTTACTGCTTGGCCATTATACGAGATTCCAAATGTTACAACCCTGCTGGGCCTCTGGATGCTGGGGAAATAACAGCCCTTGCACTTACTGGGGATGTAGAAGTCCTAGGACAGCAAGGAGACCTGCTGTGGAAACTCTAAAAAAAGCCCCACTGTTTGCAGTTCTTCCTATGAAAACAGAATACTTTCCCCTTTGTAAGCGTAACAGGACACTAAATTTATTACCTTCTTGAAGTGCTTACATGTCATTTAGTGGACTCCTACAGAAGTATTTCTAACAATAGTACCTACCTGCTCTTTTGAAAGACTCAGAAGTCTATAAATAAGAAGTGGTAATAGTAGTCATGCTTTTTCACATACTACTCAGTCTTTAGTTCTGTATTACCTCAATGGTTTTAAATTTCCACATTAAATAATAAAAACACTCAAGAGTGTCACAGTAAAAAAAAAAAAAAAAAAGAGCAAGATACATATATGTCAAGTTAAAGGCTCAGTAAAACCAAAAACTGTCAAGCAAATTAACTTCAACGCTGAACAGATCCAAATTGAAGCCATCTTACAAGCAAACCAGGAAAAAAACTGATGGAAGGTACAAGAAGTAATATATACTAGCTATTATGTAGCTCCAAACATCAAAAAGTATAAAACCGAGTAGAAATGTTACATCAGATTGAAACTGAATATATGCACAACAGGACGTTAAACTGAGGTCTCTGCTGCTCTCAGCTCAGTCTTCAGAAGAAGCGGCAGATTTCTGTCAGTGACACATGAAACTCAAGGTGCTAAGAACCCTGCCGTAACAGCCAACTTAGTAGCAAGACAGATCTTCAAATCTAGCACATCCCACGGGAAAGAAAAAGGAATTCCAGATCTCTTCCGTTTGGGAAAATTCTTCTTGATTTCAAATCCACAGATGAGTTTAAGGCTAAATAAGTGAGTACAACACAAGCCTGGTATCTGATGAGAGAATTTCTGCATCCTGTCAGAATACATCTAAGTCATTGTGCATCATAAAAAAGTCTTCTCTGACCCATGCAACAAATTTACTGAATCCCTGAAACATGAGATCTGATCATAGTTGTGGTTTTTAAGCAGAGTTGATGTTGTGTGTTTGCTGAAGGCAATGTAGGCAAACCTGTTCGAACCACGGGCCATGAGGGATGGGAGCATCTATTCACAGATGATAACTATCACAGCCCAGAGCCAAATTAAAGTATATGTTTTAGAAAAAAACTAACCTAATTTAAAAAACAAATTAATAACAAGCACGCAACCTCCTTATTAAATCATTCCATTATTTTTACAACTTTAACTTCTAAGAAGGAAAAAAATAACAATGAAATGAGATGCATTAGCGCTAACCTAACAACACAAGACTGGAGGCAGCCTTCCAGATTAATGAGTCTAGTCCCTTTTCATTACAGACAACCTTATCACACACTCATTCATAAACTAATAGGATTCTTCTGAAAGCCATTACGTTTCTTGTCTCAATCACTAGTCACAGGCTGCTTGTGAGCCTCACTCTATTCTGACTAACAGTCATCATCAGGTTTTTTCTTTACACCCATCTCAATGCCTAACTTAACCGGCTCCAAACAATGGCCGTTCAGCCATGATAAAGTCAGCTACTGTTTACTTGGTCATTTCATAGCAGAAACGGGGCTTTACAATTCTCCTGAAGAAAAAAACTGAGGCCTTGCTTGTAATTTCAGCTTGTACGTACTATTTAATAGAAACCCCACTGATGAAAGAGTCCACATTTATGTAGAATCTGTCAAAAACTGGCACCATTGGAAATGTGGGTGGTGTGATGCAAAAAAAAGACGACAATAAAAGAAAAACAAAAGGAAAGAGAACAGACGGATTCCGCAAGGGAATGGGAAAGTTCAGCACGATCGGGCAAGAGAATGCTCTACTAGTGTTGGGGAAGCCAGAGAGGACCAACAGCAGCTCAGGCCCCAGTTTAGGAGCCTAAATGATACATACGGAACAGAGCGGATTTGACAGTGTGCGTGGTGGAGAGTGGACTAATCAAAAAGCAGTGGGAAGTTAAGCACTGCAACTTGTTTTCTGAGTCACACTGGTTTAACTGAAAGAGGTTTTTTTAATGAAACTGCACAACGATTTGTGGCCCCTCAACTCAATTTATACCTGGCTTGGTACCGTTTACTTGTTCCCAAGTAACAGATGGGGATGGGAAAGGGAGAAGGAACACAGTGTTAGACAATCTGAAGAAACAGAGAGAGAGCTGTCAGGTTATGGGAAAATTGATATTTCAGGTTTAAATTTAATTAAATTGAGTGTTTGTGCTGGAATTTATTTTAATCATTGTTAAAAGAGATCCAGTTACAGACACAATCAAAATATGCTTAAGCTGATACCAAAATACAACAGGGGAGAAGCTAAAAAGATAGGTCAAGTCTGTTTGTCTGTTTTCAGGAACACGGCAGAGTGATTCAAAACAGGAAGCGTGCGATGAAGACAAGCCTGAACCGTGAGCGTGAACGGTGAACTCCTGCCTGAGAATAGGAAGTGTACCAGAAAAGTACACACAAAATCACCTCATGTAAAAGAAAACTATTGATACCTCGCTATAGAAATAAAGCGTATATCAATGAAGTTCAAGGGGCAAGTACTAATTACTCCAGCAGCTGGGCATCCTGCACTTTGTACACCTGATGTGGGTGCAAAGGCTGCAGTTTGCCAGGTCTCCTGACACAGCTGCACACGTAGCAGCTCCCAAACACACCTCTGACAAATTCTCTTTGGTTTAAGAAGGGTTTTGATTTTTTTTTAATTTAAGAAAGGATTAAGTTAAGATTTCTTTATATATACGGATAAGCCAGCAGATTTCTTCACGAAGATCGAGTAAATATCTGACAATGCTGTAATGTCACAACACAACAAAATAAAAGGCCGTCTTACAAGATTACCCTAATAGCCCCTAATAGTGATTCTGATACATTGCATACTCCTGACAAGCTTAACGACTACAAACACAGTAAAAAAACTTTATCTCAGCGTCATAACACCACTGATGTTTAAAAGCATAGATATACTACCTTGTATGAGATAGGGACAACTGGCTACATAAGATATGCAAGCTTTATTTGTTGTGAAAATGAAATTCTATGAAGATAAAACTAACTCCCTGGGAGTTAATCTGGGATTTTTTTTTTTTTTTTAAAAAACAGAAGTCCCATTTTACAAAAGTTGTTATCCCCTCTCCCACATCATACCTTCTAGCTATTCAAGTGATATCTACATTACAGCGTTTTAATTCATTTAAGTATGTATGTAAGTAATTATATTGGAAGAAGCAACACAGAACACAAACGACAAAAACTACATAATTCTGAAAAGGGAAGACAACAAATACACAGTTACTAAAAAAAAAGTAAACCGGACAGTTTTAAATATAAGAACAGCAAAACTACAGATGCTTAGAAAACGAGATACAACTGACTTTCTAAAAACAAGATTTGTTCCAATAAGGTCCCAAATTTATCTGCAGCGTAAGACAGACACCGTGCATGTCAACTCAGAACATATATTGCTCACTGAACATTTCCAATCCGAGTCTATAGGGCATTTCAGAACACCCTTTAAGTTTGGGATACCTACACTTAACTCAGACCGTGGGGCAAATCATGCACTTAAGTTTAAATTTTACTTCCCCCTGACCCTCAGAATAAGGGATGTCCCCAAAGTCCGTCCCGCTCTCATCTTCACAAGCCCCCCGAAATGGCCACCGTCCCACTCAGTGACACAACATACACCCTCCTCCCACCTTTCAGCTCCGTGACTGGAAGACTTCTTTAAGTAACCCTTCCTCCTTTCGAAGCCGAGGAGCTCCAGAGTTACTTATAACCCGAGCGCGGCCGTTGTCCGCAGGCCATCCCCCGAAGGTCTGGCCCCTCGGCGCGGACCCGGCCCCCGGGGCGCGGAGCTGCCCTGGGGGGAGAGACGGCGGTACCGGCCG